GCGATTGCGTTGAATCCTGCTTATATGCTTTCTTTAACTAACAATCAGAAGAAAAACATCCCTAAAAGCACTTACCAAGTCTGGCTCTTGAAATCACAGAGAAGCACTTGAGGCAGCTAAATTTGCCACCTTCTGCCGCTTCCCCCCATGTTACACAGGGGGTATGTGGCAATTTGGGGTTAGGACTTTCCAGCCTCTTCGTGGTTTGCATGGGGCAGGGAGCCCATCGTGACGGTCAGATGATGATTGCTAATGTGGCTTACACAAATTGCTGCAGCTTCCCATCTTCCAAAGCTGGACATCACTCTCTGAAGTGCCCAGTGAATCCTGCCCTGTGGCTGAAAGCAGATCCTACAGATCCTGATACAGCGGCATTGATGCTCTGCATACAGATGGGTCATTTCCAGGCTTGGGGATGAAGAAAAAGGGGGGAAAAAGAACTAAAAAAAGGAGCTAGCTCTCACTGCCTTTAGTAACAACCAGAGCTCACAAGAGCAGATGAGCAGACTGAAATAGCATCACCAGACCTCAGGTGATCTATATCTGGGCCCTTCAGGCTTCCCTGGGAACGTCGGGTTGCCCCATTGTGGAGCCACGCTCCCAGCCATGCTCTCCAGAGCTTTGTTGATTGAGCCACTCCTCCAGTTTTGCTCGCCGGGGAATTCATTCTTCATTATGCCTGGCAGCACGGCCTGTGTGGGTTTGTTGTGGTTTTAATTAATGGCTGTGTTTTTCTTCCCCTCAGTAGGGGAAGAGAATGAATTACCCGTGGGATCTGGGGAAGCTGTGCATCAGAAGCAGGACCACAGGAAGAATCCATGCTCCCATCGCCGTGTGAGCAGCATCTGGGAGGGAAGGCAGATCTATGTGTGCTGGGCTCCTGCTCTGGGAAGCAAGGAAGTTGCCACAATCCATCCCAACACGCTGAAGGTCAGAGTATGAACTTCTTACCCACTTCCCTGTGCTCTCCTGGTGAGATTAAAGCAGCTCCCCATGCATTTATGTGAAGAAATTCCATTCAAGCACACTGATGGCTGCTTTCTGTGTTTTAATTCTCCACAACTAGATCAGTTTAAAGATTTACCAGAGTGCCTGGGAACAGCAAATACTTGAAGAAAACAATGTCAGAAATGCCCATGCTGGGTGCAGATGCGATCGGGCGAAATGCTCCAGCCTATGTTAGGGAAAAGGTCAGATTAAAGGATTAAAGAAGGTTCCTTCAGCATTAAATTCTATGTCTTCCGCATGTGGTCCTGAAGTGGTGAGAGTCAGGACAACTCTCCTCTTGCGAGAGTGTATTCCTTGGCTGGGGTTCAGTTCCTGCAACTGCAGCTGCAGGAGACACCAGCAAGGACAAACTCTTTTATCCCTTGGAAAACTAATAAAAACATCCCATAGTCAAGTCTTGCGTCTCTACATTGTGTCAATTATAAAAAGTGACATTTTTTTTTCATTCAAAACATCTCATTCCATGTTATTATCTTTCTGTCTTATTACAAATATATTGGAAACCCCAACTCCAATGAGTTGCTGGATGATAAGGTGACCCTCCATGGAATTTGGGGTACTCTCCCCCCATTTTTTGAGCTGCAAATGAGCCACAAGCCTCTCCTCTGCCCTCCGTGGGTGAGATGAGGGTGCTCAGCATACAGGAAAGCTGATGGATGGCAACTTGAGAATTCAGCTGTGGCTTGAAGAGTGACTTTTAGTTGAACTAAAGGGAAAAGCCCACAACAAAACAGAGCCTTGGAGGGATCACAGGGTACCCACAAAGGGATCTCAGATACCAAGCACAAACACAGATGCTGACACACATGGATGTGAGGAAGGGAGGAGAAAATGCACCCTAAGGAGCTGGGGTGTTATGGCCAGCATCTGCAGAACAATTCACCCCTGGAAATTACTCCTGTGTTCCCCTGTGATTCTCCTGTTTCTCTGTGGGCTCTGTAGCCCACTGTGTATTTAGGTGCTTAATTCACATGGGTGTTTTTCCAGTGCATAGGAGGTGCTAAATGGCTGTGAGCCTGTGCTGCAATTTCCAAGCACTGGGATGTGGCAGGAAGTGAATGCCTGGAGATCTTGGGCAGCCCCCTAGGGAGACCCAAAGGGAAGGGAAGGAATCCACCTTGTCACTGTTGTCCTGATGTTCTCCATCTCTGTCACAGAATCATGGAATGGTTTGGGTTGGAAGGGACATTAGAGCTCATCCAGTTCCAACACCCCTGCCACAGGCAGGGACAGCTTCCACTAGGGCAGGTTGCTCCAAGCCCCATCCAGCCTGTCCTTGAACACTGCCAGGGATGGGGCAGCCACAGCTTCTCCGGGCACCCTGTGCCAGGGCCTCACCACCCTCACAGGGAAGAACTTCTGCCTAAGAGCTCATCTCAATCTCCCCTCTGTCAGGTTAAAGCCATTCCCCATTGTCCTGTCCCTACAGGCCCTTGTCAAAAGCCCCTCTCCAGCTTTCTTGTCAGCCTCTTTATGCACTGGAAGCTGCTCTAAGGTCTCCCCAGAGCCCTCTCTTCTCCAGGCTGAACAAGCCCAGCTCTCCATAGCTCTGTCCTCCCTGTCCTGACCTGATCCAATTAATTATTCAGACAAGAGCCACAGCGCAGCAGCAGTTGCTATAGGGTGCTGACATGAATAACAACAGGCGGCTATTTTTATCCCTAACTCTTGTTACCTTGCAGTCAGGAGCAATGGGTCCCTGCCAGCTCTCCTCACACAGAGCTCACTGACTTTGTCAGGAGGAGCACTGCAGCGATTTGTAGTGTCTTTATGGGTTGGGATTCATTCTGACCGACTAAATATAGGTCAGATCTATGTGCCTGAATCCCACCCTGGTACCACTCTGTGCACTGCCAGCTGCACTCACAGGTCACATTGCATCCATATTTTATTTTTTCAAAACCCATTTTTCTTTCCATCTCTATTTTAAATGCCATAAAGCATGTAGAGTGTGTTCATTGCTAGATTTAATAGTCTGTCTACTGCAGAGAGAGGAAAAAACTTTCAGAGGTGAAGTCTCATGGTGGGTTCTGACAATTTATATAGGATACATTACATTTCCTTTTGGAACTCACAAAGACTGATTCCTCCAGCCAGTTTATCCTTCCAGTACCCAAAGGGGCCAACAAAAAAGCAGGAGAGGGACTTTTAACAAGGGCCTGCAGGGACAGGACAATGGGGAATGGCTTTAACCTGACAGAGGGGAGATTGGGATGAGATGTTAGGCAGAAGTTCTTCCCTGTGAGGGTGGTGAGGCCCTGGCACAGGGTGCCCAGAGAAGCTGTGGCTGCCCTATCCCTGGCAGTGTTCAAGGCCAGCTTGGATGGGGCTTGGAGCAACCTGGTCTAGTGGAAGGTGTCCTTGCCTGTGGCAGGGGGCTTGAACTGGATGAGCTTTAAGGTCTCTTCCAACCCAAACCATCCTGTCATTCTATGATTTATACCCTCACAGCTGGCGTGCCCAGTTAAATATCTTGCTACAACCCCAGTGAGTGTGGCATGGGCATACCAAAGACTTTCTCCATTCACTCCTCCTTGTTCTGCCCCCACTCATGCCAGCTGCAATGAAAATGGGAAATATCCAGAAAATCAGGGGAAGGGGGGGTGGAATTTGAGGGACTTCTGAAGTTTGAATGGGTGCTGCTGAGAGTGCAGAGCCTGTTCTGGCTGCAGGGGTCATCTCTGGTGCCAGCAGAACAATCTGGGAGATTTAAAAAATCTCCAAAACAAACAAGCAAAAGGAGCAAAACAAAAGTTTTCTCTAGCTGTTTGTGTTTTGTATTTTTAAGCAAGGTTTAGAGAAAGATTTTTAAGGAATACCAAAATCTTTTTTAAGGGGGAGCAGCTGTTTCCCAGACACCATTGCTGTCTCTGCTTTCCTTTCATTTAGGCCTGCAACACCTCTCCGAAGACACATCCCGAATCCTCCTTTTTATTGCAAACACCACAGGACCTGCTGCTTTTGTATCTTCAGCTCCAAATTCCTGGACTTGCACTGGATCACATAAAAGAGAAAAGTGACACCCAGCCTGTATTCTTTGGGGTGAAAACACACAGAAAGGGGCTCCCCAAATGCAATATAGAATCAATCATAGAATCCCAGGTTGGAAGGGACCTCAAGGATCATCTGGTCCAACATCTCAAGGCAAAGCATGACCTCAACTGGACAGCCCAGCACCCTGTCCAGCCAAATCTTAACAGTGTCCAATGTTGGGCAGTCCACCACTTCCCTGAGGAGATTATTCCAGCAGCTGATTGTTCTCGTTGTGAAAAATTTTCCAGTTGGAATCTCTCCAGAATTAACTTGTGCCCATCACTCCTTTTCCATGTAGCTCCTGGTAAAAAGGGAGTCTCCATCTTCCTTGTAGTCACCCTTTAAATAGTGGCACATGGGGATAAGGTCTCCCCTGAGCCTTCTTTTCTCCAGGCTGAACAAGCCCAGCTCTCTCAGCCTTTCCTCACATGGCTGCCCAGTACTTGGATCATCTTTGTGGACCTTCTCTGGACCCTCTGGAGATGTGGCATGGCCATATCTTCTTTCTCCAGCGGGACCAAACCTGAACACAGTATTCCAAGCACTTCCCGACAAGCACCTAGAGTGTAAATAGGAAAATATAATAGGAAAATTAAAAAGGCGGGGGGGGGGGGGGGGGGTAAGGATGTTTTTACTTTCGTTGCTGTTTTTTAACGAAATGGTACTTTCACCCGGCTGGTGACTTCCAAGGGTTGGAGCTGGGAACCGGCCCGGCCCCTCGGAGCCCACAGCTCCGATCCCGGTCCCGGTCCCGGTCCCGATCCCGGTCCCGGCTCCTATGCCGGCCCCTGCCGGCGCCAGCGCACGGAAGTTCGGATCCACCCCCCTACCTCCCCCTCACCCCGCCCCCCGCACACTGATAGGCTGGAGCTCTTGCCCGTCACTCTCGCCAGCTCTATCGCTGCCCCATTGGGTGACTCTGGGTTGCGAAGGCCAATGAGAAGCTCTGCTGGGCGGGAGGGAGGAGGAACTCCAGCTCTGTGGCGGGAAAGACTCCTGTGTTTGGCGCCAACCGGGAGCGCGGCGGTTGCCCGGGGGAGTCGGGTCACGTTAACGGGATCGGGGTCGCTGCTGGGGCCGGTCCGGCTTCCCCCGGCTCCTCTCGGTTTCCCCCCTCACAGCAGCGGCCAGTTCTCCGCGGCACCCGCAGCGTCCCGGAGCGGTCGGCAGCATGGCGGCGGCGGGCGTGCTGGAGGACGCGGAGCTGCGGGAAGCGCAGCGCGACTACGTCGATTTCCTGGATGATGAGGTGAGCCCGGGAGAGGGGCTGCGCTGGGAGTCCCCGCTATTCCCCGGGGCTGGGGAGCATCTGGGCCCTATGGTCCTTCCCCCCGCCCCCCTGCTCCCCCGGTTTGTTCCGTGGGGCTAAGGCGAATCGCGCTCCGCAGGAATCGGCTCCTGGGGGATGTCTCTGAGCGGTGATGCAAAGTGTGTTGTTTTTGGGGGTGTTTTCTCGCCACCCCTCTTGCAGGAAGACCAAGGCATTTACTCTAGCAAGGTCCGGGAAATGATCAGCGACAACCAGTACCGCCTCCTTGTCAACATCAATGACCTGCGGCGGAAGAACGAGAAGAGGGCCAACCGGTTGGTGTGGGGCCCCGGGCTTCCCTTCAGTACCCTGCCCTAGGCACACAGAGGTCGAGGCCTGTTCTTGCAGGTCGCTTGTGTCAAGGAAGGGCCAAACGCTGCCCTGTGCACCAGGTCTCATGTAAAAGGTGGACCTGCTCTTTTCCCCCTTCCCTTCCAAGCTTGCAAACCCATGACTCGGTACTCATCTTTTGCAGTAACTGGGGGTTGATTGTATGATATTAGTCATCTCCTTTGTTAGGATGCTTGGGGATTTTGGAGCAGGCTTGCCAATCTGCTTGGGAACATGTGAGATTTTTCATATGTGGTTGGCTTTGTTCGGCTCCTGGCTGTTGGTGGCAGCAGATCTGACACAGAGCTATAATGGGCTTTGGGTTTTTTCACCTCATGCTCCTTTAAACTTTTGGAGCACATGGAGGCATGGGATAAGCGTTAAGGAGGACAGCAGAACAGGCTGATCAGTCTGCATCATTGCCTCCCTCTTCCAGGCTCTTGAACAGTGCCTTTGGGGAGCTGGTCGCTTTCCAGCGTGCCTTAAAGGATTTTGTTGCCTCTGTTGATGCCACCTATGCCAAGCAGTTCGAGGACTTCTACATTGGGCTGGAGGGCAGCTTCGGCTCCAAGCACGTGTCGCCGCGGACGCTGACAGCCTGTTTCCTTAGCTGCATTGTCTGTGTGGAGGGCATCGTGACCAAATGTGAGACCAGGGGAGACCCAGGGGCTCTGGGGGTTCTGGGTCTTGGTGTTCGCTGTGGAGGGCCTGGAGGCCACTAAGAGCTGGGGTACATCCTGGCAACCTGAGTGAAGGGAACAGGGGGCTTGGCAGGAGGTCTTGAGTGTTGGGGTGGTGCTCAAGCAGATGCTGGCCGTGGTTGGCAGTTTAGTGTTGGGGACTGTCTGCTGAAAGAGGGCTGGGGTATCCCTGCCCCTAACTCCTCATTCTCCCAACCTCAGGCTCTCTGGTTCGTCCAAAGATCGTCCGGAGTGTCCATTATTGCCCAGCTACCAAGAAGACTATTGAGCGCCGATACACGGATTTGACCTCCCTGGATGCTTTCCCATCCAGCTCTTTCTACCCTACGAAGGTGAGGTGAAGTAGCCTTGTGCAGAGCATCAGCTTCTCTGAGAGAGAGAATGTATCAGCTCTGAGCCCAGGGCTCAAATCCTTGTGCATCTCTTCTCCCTCTGCCAGCAATATCAAATGTGTGAAAGTCCCAGATAGCTACTAGGAACAAGTGAAGAAAATCTCCATTGGACACAAGGCCACCAGACGCCCTAGTTCAGTGTTACTTATGATCATGGTTCTGCTGTAGTGTGGCTTCTTGGGGGGTTGTCAGCCAGACTTGTTCTTGGGACGCAGGTCAGCCTGGGCATGCCTGTGCTGTCCTGGAGGGTGTATACACCTTGGGTGGAGGATTTGCCATGTATTTGGGAATGGAGGAAGGTTGACCTGAGCTTTGTCTGCACTGTTGGATGTGTTCCTGAAAACTGGTCCTAGTCTCTTTATTTGGATTCCTCCTCTAGGATGAAGAGAATAACCCCCTGGAGACCGAGTTTGGCCTCTCGGTCTACAAAGACCATCAGACTATCACCATCCAGGAGATGCCTGAGAAGGCACCAGCAGGTCAGCTACCACGCTCAGTGGATGTTGTTCTGGATGATGACCTGGTAGACAAGGTGAAGGCTGGAGACCGCATCCAGGTGGTAGGGACGTACCGCTGCCTGCCAGGAAAGAAAGGGGGTTACACATCAGGGACTTTCAGGTGAGTCTTCGTCTGTCTTGGCTTCAGCCCTCCCACCCTTTCTAGGTGGGTCACATCCCTGGAAGCTGAGATCTAGCACAGGTGGGTGGCCATCACAGAGCTGGGCCAGACATTGTCTTAAATCACTTGGCAGTGGTTTGCTTCCTAGCATCAGTGTAGCTGTGAGCTCCAGCTGTACAAAGAGGGGGTTGGATGCTCCATTGATGGGCTGGTGCAGTGGGCTACAGCTCTTGAAGCTTTCCAGCCTTCTCCAGGACTTCCTAGAGTAAATGATGACCCTGTGGAAGTTTCTGCTGTGTTGTTGCTGTGACCCATAGGCTCTGTGGTGTTTGCGGACCTGATCATGGCTGTGTCTCTTCTCCAGGACTATCCTCATTGCCTGCCACCTGAAGCAGATGAACAAAGAAGTCCGGCCTCTCTACTCTGCTGCTGATGTGGCCAAGATCAAGAGGTTCAGCAAGAGTCACTCCAAGGTATTTAAGCCTTACATCTGGAAGGTAGGCTTCTATTGGAGCATGAGGTTTCAGTTAGGAGCAGCTTTAAGGCCTGGCATGTGGCTAAGGAGATGCCTTACTGGATTGTAAGTAACTCTTCAACCCTGTTAGCAATGTTGCTGGATTTTCCACTCACTTTCTTTGTAATTTCTGCTTAGGGTTTGATCAGGTCCTGGACTTGTTTTGTTGTTGCTTCTGTGCTGTTAACAGTATCCTTGCTGCCTGCTGGCAGCACTGCTGTGCATAGCTGTTGAGACAGAGATCTGTTCGTGTTGTGCATGTCCTGACCCCGTCAGCTTGTTGCCAGGGAATTTCCTCTGTTGAAGAAACACCTCCCTCTTTCCTCTACAAACCCCAAACTGGAATGAGATAAGGAGGTCTGCTCCAGCCTGGCCCTATGCTGAGACCTTTGCTTTGTAGCATGGAGAGGAGAGAGCCTTGCTTTCACAGGGGTTGCTGCTTCCAGTGCTTGTTTGGGTGACTGTGACAGTCAGGATGGTCTAGAGCTTCAGAGCCCCATTGAAACAAGACTCTGGCCAGTGGTCTTCTGCTTTCTAAGTAATTTTCATCCACATGGTTCTAAGATTAGGAATAAGCACCATTTTTGTGCTGAAATGAACTTGTGGAGTGTTGCTCATTGTTCTTATTTGCTACAGTCCATGTGATGGGCCATGCTTTGCCTTTTTTACCTTTAGGATATCTTTAACCAACTGGCGAAATCTCTGGCTCCCAGCATCCATGGGCACGAGTACATCAAGAAGGCCCTTCTCTGCATGCTGCTCGGAGGGGTGGAGAAGGTCCTGGAGAACGGGAGCCGCATCCGAGGAGACATCAACATCTTGCTGATAGGTCTGGAAGGGCGAGGCAGAGGCACCCTCAGATGGTGGTGTGGGGGAGTTTCACAGAGTAATTGAAGTTAGATGGAACCTCTGGAGGTCTCACATGCACAGGGCAGAGATGGTGTCACTGGTAGGTCAGATTGCTTTGGGACTCGCCCAGTTGATTTTGAACATCTCCAGGGATGGGATCCCCTGTCTTCTGTGGGCCACTGTCCCAGTGTTTGACCGCCATCAAGGAGATCTCTTTTTCTTCTACCATCCAATTGAGATTTCCTGTGTTCCAAATTGTCCCCAGTGTCCCTGCTCCTATCACCATGCACCTTTCAACTCTAGCACCATCTTCTGTTTCCTGCCACTGGGTTATTGAGAAGGCAAGAAGATCATGTGATGACCTTGTTTTCTGAAGACTGAACAAACTGCCTTCTGCCCCCTTCCCTCCCCACCAGCCTCAGGCTGGACACAGTATCCGGGCAATGTGTGGTTGTTAACACATGAATGTCTCCATTTCAGGAGACCCTTCTGTTGCCAAGTCTCAGCTGCTGCGGTACGTGCTCTGCACCGCGCCCCGTGCCATCGCCACCACCGGCAGAGGCTCCTCTGGCGTTGGCCTGACTGCTGCTGTCACCACAGACCAAGAAACCGGTGAGGAATGGGCTGTTTCCTGGTGGGAGCTGTCAGAGGGATGATTGTTAACACCTGGGAAGGACTCTGAGATCCATGGCAGCTGTTCTGTAGCAATGCTACAAAAGGACTTACTCCATCCAGAAGCTTTGTGGCAATGTTCATCATGTTTGGGGGTACTTTTTCTGCCTCTGTTAAGTGGTGATCTTCTCTGCTCCTACTTGGAGCACCCCCTGTGAGGGCTAGCAACAGCCTGGATCATCATCTTCTTCCTCATGTGTTTCCTGTTCATCCTAAGTGTTCTCCTGCTGTCAAGTTGGGTAGGAAACAGGCAGACCTGAAAGGTGCTGCTGCTCTTTGAGACTTAGGCTGGTCACAGGGTTAGAGCTGTGGTGGAGGGGACAGCAGGGCAGGACATGTGTGGGGCTGCTGAATGGTGATGACCTTCTCATTCTCCTCCTCCGCCCCAGGTGAACGGCGCCTGGAAGCAGGGGCCATGGTGCTGGCTGACCGAGGGGTGGTATGCATTGATGAGTTCGACAAGATGTCCGATATTGACCGCACAGCCATCCATGAGGTGATGGAGCAGGGCCGCGTCACCATCACCAAGGCTGGCATCCATGCCCGCCTCAACTCCCGCTGCAGTGTCCTGGCGGCAGCCAACCCTGTCTACGGCCGGGTGAGTGCTGGTGTTTGCTGGTCCCCTCCATGGGGAAAGATGCTGGGAGCCATCTTGGTGGAGGAGACAGTTGGTAAAAGCCAAAAGTTTCAGCTAAGACCAGTGATTTGGTCCTTGCTGGGACTGGGATCCATGGAGGCAGTGAAGATGTGGTTGGTTTGATCTCTTGCTGCTCATGGCTCTCCTGGAGGAGAGAGTGGCTTCTGAGGTTTGTCACCCCAGTTCAATTCTGCCTGTGTGTCTCAGGGCAGCCAAATGGACCCTTATCCTGGTGGTGAGCCCTAGTCTTGGTATCTGATCTGGGATCACGAGAAATACATTCCTTCAAGGATGGGGAAAAGAGGTCTTACTGCTGCAGCAGGCTGGGTTTAGTGTGGTGTCCAACTGCCTGGACATCCATCCTTTAAGGCCTGGCCTGAGGAGCTCCTCCCAGCCTTGCTGACAGTCAAGACTGATCCATGAAGGTCTCCTGTAACACTTCATACTGTCCTATTGCAGTATGACCAATACAAGACACCTATGGAGAACATCGGCCTGCAGGACTCCTTGCTCTCCCGCTTTGACCTACTCTTCATTGTGCTAGACCAGATGGACTCTGAGCAGGACAGGGAGATCTCGGACCATGTCTTGCGGATGCACCGCTACCGCAAACCCAACGAGCAGGACGGGGATGGTGAGTTGTGTGTAACTGCAATCTCCTTGCTGCTCAGTTCTGTCCTTCCTTGCTGAAGGACACCTTGGTGTCACCCCTTGGTGGCAGCTCAGTTCAACATCCCTGGTTTATTGAGCACTGCTTTTGGTGGCTCTTGGAAGCTGCTTCAGAGGATAAAAGCCCATTCTCTGTGACTTTCCCCTCTCCAGCCATGCCCTTAGGCAGTGCTGTGGAGATCCTGGCTACAGAGGACCCCGACTTTGCGCAGGAGGAAGAACAGGAACTCCAAGTGTATGAGAAATACAATGAGCTCCTTCACGGGCCCCACCGCCGCAAGTGAGTCCTTTATCCCGCATCCCCTAAAGTGCTTTGCTGGCTTCCGGCACTGTGAATTGATGTGCTTGGCTTAGGTATCCAGGCAGTGGCTTCTAGCTGGTGCCAGAGATGCTTCAGATGGCCCATGGTGAGGTACACGGGCAGGATATCAAGGGAGCCCTGCTCTAGGTTTGATCTAGGTGGGGAACATCTGGAGCTAATTCCTTGCACACCTAGATGCCTGTGAAGGGTAAACAGTGGGAAGCCCACTTCTGCAAACACCCTTTGCCCGTCCTCACTGTGGAGGTCATTCCCTGCAGGGAGAAGATTGTCAGCATGGAGTTCATGAGGAAGTACATCCATGTAGCAAAGATGATTAAGCCTGTCTTGACCGAGGAGTCAGCGAACTATATAGCAGAGGAGTACTCCCGCCTGCGCAGCCAGGACCAGATAAACCCAGACATCGCCATGGTGAGTCCTGAGAGCAGCTCCTGCTCAGACCCGGAGGAGAGAAACAGAGGCACAGGCTTCCCTCTCTCATTACAGGTGTTTTCCACCTTGGACGTGATGCATCTCAGTAAAGTGGGATGCTGAGGTGGGGTCAGCCCTGAAGAGACACCTCTCTCTGTCTCTCCCCAGACCTCCCCTGTCACAGCTCGTACCCTGGAGACCCTTATCCGCCTCTCCACGGCCCATGCCAAGGCCAGGATGAACAAGACTGTTGATCTGCAGGATGCTGAGGCAGCTTTGGAGCTGGTGCAGTTCGCCTACTTCAAAAAGGTGGGGGGAAGGTGTCCCTTGGCTCTTTGGGGTCCTGAAATTGTCACTGTAAAGAGTGGGTTTGGTGGGCTGCTGGTGAAGTCCTTTCCTGGTGATAGTCTGGCATGAGGCCACCATAGTGTGATCTTAGGGGTTGGTCCACTACAAGCAGCTTGAGTGGAAAAGGGGGCTGAGTCCATCCTGTCTGTGCCACACAGGTGCTGGAGAAGGAGAAGAAGCGCAAAAAGCAGGCAGAGGACGACTCGGAGACTGAGAAGGAGGATGAGGAGTCACAGCCCAAGGAGGAGCGCAGGACAAGGAGGTAGGAGCCAGAGCAAGGGAAGGGGTGTCATGTAAGGGGCACCAGCCTCTTCTGAAGTTGCAGCAGGCAGTGCTGGCCTCGGGGAAGTACCTCACTGTCTAGTGGATCAACCCCAGTTGTAACAGAGGGGCATCCGTATTTATAAGGAACTGGCTGGATAGCCATGTCCGATGGGTTACAGTCAGTGGACATCAGGAATGAATGATGTCCCTCAGGGGTCTGTGCTGGGACCAGTACTATTTAGTACCTATGGAAATCTCATGAAGTTCAGCAAGGCCAAGTGCCAGGCCTGCATCTGGGTTGGGGTGATCCCCAGTACCACTGCAGGGGAGACATCTTCTTCCCCTACCCAGGAGAAAGAAGGCACGCACAGGGGACGAAGGGGACTCCTATGACCCATACGATTTCAGTGACGCTGAGGAGGAAATGCCAGAAGGTGAGTCCTTGGGGTTTCTCAAGTGGCACCCGGGTCTTGAGGGTGCTGCTGACTTCTACCCTGCTGGTCTGCACATCCTGGGGCCATTCATGGTCCATGGTGTGGCACCATCCAGCTCCACAGATGAAGATGAGTCTTTGTTTCAAACCATCCATGGCCATGTGAGACAGGGGAGTTGGTATTGCTGGTTAATTTGATGTCCACTTCCAAACTGCTGCAGAAGGAGCAATGTTGGGAGGGAGTTCAGCATTGCCCACCCCAAGGCCAAGTGCTTTTGCTCTCTGGGTGCTTGGACTCCAGGCAGGTTGAAGGTAACTCTTCCTTCTACTCCAGTTCAGGCACACACTCCAAAGACACCCGAAGCCTCAGCCACTGGCGAAGCCAAGAAGCCGGAGCTGGCTGAGCCGAGGTGAGTAGGGGCTGGAGGAGGTACGTGTCTCTGCATGTTCCACCCCACCTGGTGGGTCCAAGCTGTTGCCCAGTGATGGGGATGCATCTGTTCTGGGTGCGTCTGGCTCTGTTCTTGGCTTTCCTGCTGGGTGCTGCTTCCGGAATCAGGAAGGGCTGAGGCATCCCTGAGGGAATGAAGGGGAAGGACTTGTGTGAGTGTGTCTTGAAGGGTTATTACTCTCTGCCTTCCCTGACCAGGTTGAAGGCGTTCAAGGCTCGTCTCCTGGAGGTTTTCAAGGCTTCCCATGCCCAGTCCGTGGGTCTGAAGAGCATGATGGAGTCCATCAACCGTGACAACCCTGAGCCCTTCTCGCAGGATGAGGTGAAGGTGGCGTTGGCCCACATGCAAGATGACAACCAGATCATGGTGTCTGATGACATTATCTTCTTAATCTGAGCATCTGGGTGGAAGAACCCAAATTCTTGTGGACTGTCAGTCTGGAGACTCTTTGTGCTTGCCTTTAACTCCTGAATGCTTCCTCTGGCTGAGCTGAACTTTGGGGAGCTCAAGTCTGTGCACTTTACAGTACTCCATCATTGCTGGCGCCAAAAGAAGCCAGGAGCTCTGGAAGCTCTCTTACTGTTGCTGTCTTCAGACTGGCTTATTTGGGAAGAGGTTTGTTTCTGCAAGGAACCAAGAGGAAAAGCTTAGGTGCAAAGTATCAGTGTTTTTAATGTATCGTGTTTATCTTTGGTGATAATAGTTCCAGCCTTTGAATAAAAAAATGGATTTAGGAATCCAACATTGAGTACCAGTGGTGGTAAGAAGCAGTATGAGAGCTCCGCTATTAGTAGTGAAGCTTTTATTTTTCCCTTTTTTTTTACTCTTTTTCCCCAGCTGTATAGCCCAGACCTGCTTGTCTCACAAGCAGAGATGCCTGATGCCTGCCCCGTTGGCTGTGACCAGCCTCTTCTCCCGCTCTTCCTATCCATCTTGTGGAGGGTGATTTCTGGCATTGGAGGGGTCAAGTATAATCTGACCTGCTGTTTCACAGCCCTGCTGGGAGTTTTGGCTCCGAGTGGGTGGGAAGGACCTGGAATGCTCAGAGCTGCCCATGGGCCGTATCCCTGGTAGATGGCTTTGGCTTCCAGCCTGGGATTGTGCCCCTATGACCACCACCAATGGAAACCTGTAGTAAAGAAAGGCCAAAGCTATGGGACCTGGGTCCTGCATCTCCTGTATGTCCTTATGGCTGAGCTGCTGCAAATCTTCATCCTGTGGAATGTAACCACAAACTACTGAATACGAAAAACTTTCCCTTGCCCTTGGGGGATTTGAACTGTCTTGCTCTCTGGGAACACATAGGTGACCGCTGCTTGAGAACAGGCTGTTCCTAGAAACCAACAGGTTCCCATGGCTGGGGTGGCTTTTAGGAAAAGCTGAACACACAGACCAGTGTTGGCTGCTTATGGGGCCAGAGCTGCTGAAGGTATGGGCTTATCTTTCAATTGCCTTTTTATTGCTTCTTTTATTTTCTTATCCTGGTGAGTTTGAGGTCAAGCTTTGGAGGAGATCCCCAAACTGCACAGGCTGTTTGCTGTTGTCACTGCCCATCTCTGGGCATCTGCACAGTTCATGTGCTTTTATTTCTGGATGACTTAAATAACTGATTTGAATAATTAAAGTGTCTAGGGTTTGTCCCATGACTTGCTGCTTACTTTGATTTAAATTGTTCCCACTTCTAGGGATGTAACTATAGTCTTTTGGGGACATGGGCTGCTGTGGAATGCCTTCAGCAAGCTGCCTGCCCCTTTGGGCTTAAGGGCCATGTTGGCACATCCACCACGGTGCCTTTGACTTGTTGGACCAGGCACTTGCAGAAGTTCCCTTCAAGTGGATGGGTAATAAACATGGACAGCTCCTGCCTCTCCCACTGCAGCTACGTGTTCTGGTGCCTAAGGAAGACTTGGTAGCATCTTCTTGCACAGGGCATGGGGGGAACCTTTATTTGTCTTCTCTGAATTACAAAAGCCCGATCTCTGACCTCCCTTCATCCAACGTAGCTGTGACATCACATTTTTCAGGCTTGGAGGGGATTTTACTTGTTTACAGCCTTCTAAAGAGCTCATTGAACTAATACAGTGACCTCAGGCCTACAGCCAGTGCATGGCTCATAAAACTGCCAAGACTGGTGAAGGTGAGTTGAGCACACAAGGTCAGAGTTGTTCTGGGTCAGTGGTTTTATTATGCAGCTCTGGTCTGAGCTTTGTGGGACTGGGCAGGAAGCTGAGCCAGCAGGCTCTGCTCCTGCATGGCCACCACTGTGCTGGCTCCATGCTGCAGAGCCCCTGGGCAGGAGCAATGTGCTGAATGTACCCAGGTGCCTTCTCCAAGGTGTGGGTGGTGTTTTCTTATGAACTCATTCATGGGCAAAGGAACCAACCTTTTTCTTCTGGAAAGGTGCCTGGGTGCTTATAAGAAGCTCCCTGGTAATAGCTGCAGCTCTGACATTGCCTTGTTGTAGGAGGGAGGACACTGTAATCTCCTTCCTCTCTCCTCACCTCTCTCTGTCTTTCGGAGGCTGTTCCTCTCGCAGGTCACAGCGGGGAGTGGTGAAGATATTTGATAGTTTTTGGAGCCATCTCATCTGTTTTCCCTGTCCTTACAGCTGGGGCTCTGCTAATTTTGTATTTCCCATGATAAGACACCAGGAGGAGCTCTAGGGCAGGGAAATCTGGTTTATTTTGCCATGCTATGGGGTAGGATTGTAGCTCTGTACCTTTCCTGTGAGCCGGTAGCCAGCTCAGTATATAGAATTACCGGTTTATGTTGGAGGGGACCTTAAAGCTCATCCAGTTCCAACCTCCTGCCATGGGCAGGGACACCTTCCCAGACCAGGTTGCTCCAAGCCCCATCCAACCTGGCCTTGAACACTGCCAGGGATGGGGCAGCCACAGCTTCTCTGGGCACCCTATGCCAGGGCCTCAGCACCCTTACAGGGAAGAACTTCTTCCTTATAGCTCATCTCAGTCTCCCCTCTGTCTGTTTAAAGCCCCCTTGTCCTGTCCCTACAGGCCCGTGTAAACAGTCCCTTTATGCTCTCACCTATTTTGCAGTTTTTTTCTAAGAAGTCTGGACAACCTGGTCTAGTGGAAGGTGTCCCTGCCGCGGGAGGGGGGTTGTAATCATTCTATGATTCTGTGATAAGTTTCAGCTCCCCCTGGGAAATAGTGAGTGTGCAACCTCTCTTGAGGGACATCATGCTCCTTTTGAGATTAAAAATCACACTTAATAAAAATAATGATTTGGGGAATCCAATATTGGCAAGCTAAGTGTTTGTTCTAATATGTTCAGCCTGGAGAAGAGAAGGCTGCGTGGAGACCTCATAGCAGCCTTCCAGTATCTGAAGGGGGCCTATAGGGATGCTGGGGAGGGACTCTTCATTAGGGACTGTAGTGACAGGACAAGGGGTAACGGGTTAAAACTTAAACAGGGGAAGTTTAGATTGGATATAAGGAAGAAATTCTTTCCTGCGAGGGTGGTGAGGCACTGGAATGGGTTGCCCAGGGAGTCTGTGAATGCTCCATCCCTGGTGGTGTTCAAGGCCAGGTTGGACAGAGCCTTGGGTGACATGGTTTAGTGTGAGGTGTCCCTGCCCACTGCAGGGGGGTTGGAACTTGATGATCTTAAGGTCCTTTCCAGCCCTAACTATTCTATGGTTCTATGTTTCCTGTTGCCTCCTCTCAAACCATGTGCCCCTAATAGTTTACCTGGTTTCATCCCTGCTGCATGGAAGTGAGGAGACACAGTTCTGCCCCAACCCTTGTTTGGGTTGTGTGACCCTATACAGTGTGCCTGCCCTTGTGCATCACCCTTTGCCCAGCTCATCTGTTGTGCCACCAGGACTTGGCCATGCGCAGAGATGTGAATGGAAGAGATGGATGGCAGAGATGTGCTTTATTTAGCACACTGCACCTTAGTATTATAGTTCTCAACTCCTTTATTCCCCCTACTCTCTGTGGGCCTATTGATGCTATAAATTAAATGTCCTGTTTATCTGCCTGCTGAGGGTTGGGTGAGCACCCAGACTGCAGGGGCTATGGGTAAAATCCCCATGCCAGGACCATCAGCATCACCTAATCCCTGCTTCCCACTCAACCCACAGCTCTGGCAAAAGTGTGAAGCTGAGCTAAGATGGCAGCCAAAAATGAGGTTTTGCCCATTGTAGCCATGTTTACTCTGAAAATTTAGTGTTTCCAGCTCACACCTCTTGACTGTGATCAACAGCTTGGTCTTGAGTCTTGATGTGATAAAAAGTGCCATCAGCAAACCTTGCAGCGATAAGCATGGATATGTACAGTCAGCTCTCTAAATCAGAAGGTAGGTGATTTTACAGTGTCACACATCATGAAGGGGTATAGCTAGGGCTGACAGGAGTAAGCTGCTGGAGATTGGAGTCCTGCTTTGTGCTTTAGCTCAGCCAAATGTTTATTTAGCCCCAGTGTCTGGAGATCTCAGAGGTTGCGATTTCACCCCCATTATCTCCTTTGCTGGTGCAGGCTGCAGAAGGTCCTCTGCTGTTTTTCAGTTGAGCTGGCTGAGACACCTACCCCTAAAATGCTGCCTGTTCTCATAGCAGCTTGCTGCTATGTAGACACCCATGGACTCCATCCATGCGACTGGGTGGTGGTGGGCCAGAGGGTGCTACAGAAGCATTACTTCCAGGTATATCCTATTAATTTATTAGGATTCCAGACATATCTATTCTCCCTAGTCCTTCCTGCATGGCTGGGCACCTGCTTCCAGAGCAGAAAATGATCGTGTCATTGAAACATGAGTACCAGCTATGAATATTTATTTGCACCGATGCAGCTGAGAAACAGAGTTTGCTTTGCCCAGTAGCAGAGTCAGTGAAATGCAGGTCACAGCTCTGTGCCTGGTGTTCATACATCTGTGTTCAAAGACATTTGAGTACTTCTGGTTTCTGTCTGCTCAGGAGTTGTAGTTTTATGTTTCCTTGGAGGTGGTGCAGGTGACCTCTTTTAGTTCAGATTTTCAGAGAACTTCAACACAAATTAAGTCATAGGAAATTTCAGGTCGAAGAGGGAATCCTCACTGAAGTTATAAACTACTGAAGATAGAAGGTGTGAGTGGAAAGTGGTGGTCAGGGCTAATAACCCGCTGTTTGGTGTGGTAATGTCATTGCTTCATCGCATGTAACAGTTTCCGCTTAACACTGTACCTGAAAAATCCAACCCATTTTCATGGCAATGCCCTTTTCTTTCACTGCGATTGCTCAGGGGAAAAAAGGGGGGTCAGTTTCTGCGGTACAGAAGTGGGTTTCTGGTAATTCTACCCTCTTGTAGTCTTCCACTGCCTGTGTCTTAGTAGACGCATTTGTCAGAATAGGAACACGTGTCACAAAATTGATGTTACCTCAGATGAACTTGGTAACCTGAAGCATGAAAAGTTTATGTGACATGAGTTGCTGGTCTCTGAACCATCAGTTGAATCAGACCACAACATCATGACAACATCCTGCAGTGCCATAAAGCATCAGTCAGTGGAGATTTCTGCAGGTACTATTCAAGCAAGGTGATAGAGCAGGGACTGGGTTAGTCCCTTCTTATTTGAAAATGACATGAATTTGTAAGAGGCTCCTGATTTTCTGGAGGACTGAAGGTGAATGTGTGTGAAGAGTCTTGCTTTTCAGTCCTCCTTTTCTAGTTTGGCTACATGGCTTTGGGAGAGGCTTCTCATGAGGCTTTTCTCCACAGAGAAGCTGATCAATATCTGAAAGAGGCCTATAAGGGCACTGGACAAAGACTCTTCATCAGGGACTGTAGCGATAGGACAAGAGGTGATGGGTTTAAACTTAAACAGGGGAAGTTCAGGTTGGATGTAAGGAAGTTCTTTGCTGTGGGTGTGGTGAGGCACTGGAATGGGTTGCCCAAAGAAGTTGTGAATGCTCCATCCCTGGTGGTGTTCAAGGCCAGGTTGGAGATAATCTTAGGTGACATGGTCTATCGTGCGGTGTCCCTGCCCATGACAGGGGGTTGGAACAAGATGGTCTTAAGGTCCTTTCAAACCCAAACCATTCTGTGAATCTATGGTAAACTGGCTACATGGTCTTTTTCTGCAATAACAATAGCTTTTACTTCTAAAGAAAGGTGCTGGTGCCTCTGGGCACATGCACTTCTCCTTTTCCTTTTATTTTCATGCCTCTGTCCCCTAATGGTAAAATGGAAATTATTAGCATGTTCAATTAAAACCCATCATTTTCCATGAACACAAAGGAGTACAGGAGCAGTACCAGGTGGAGGAACCAAAATAACACAGTGCCGATGGAGCCCCTGCCCCAGCTCTTTTGGAGCTGTCCAAGGAAGACTGTCAATCTAGACAAGTCAATGGGGGAAGCTTTCCCCAGATCACCTCGATGGCTACAGGACTATTAGACTTGTGGTGGTGCACTGGGAAGAGCGTTTTAGGACTGTGCAAGACTTACTATGGGATGTTTAAGGGAAAGGGCAAAGTTAGGGAAAGAAAAGCATCAGGGCGGATCAGTGAGGAGCAAACTGGAAAATGAGAGGAGGGATGATAAGGGCTGATTACATGTAAGTGGGGTTGTGGTCAGTATGCTCGTCTGACTGAGCTCTGTGCTTGATCACCTCAGCCTGTGCTATCTTCCTATTAAATCCTTTTCTTCTCTTTTTTTTTTTTTTTTTTTAAGTGTAATTTTACTCTCTATCCTAAATGCAAGTGTTGCAAGGTCTAATGGCCAGCAGCTGGGGGTCCAGTATGTGCATATTGTTTGCCTTTGTATGTTGACTTGGAAAGACATCAAGCTGGCCTAACTCCAGGTATTGGAGCAGCCGTAAGTCTGGGCCGGAGGCTGGAGAGACCAGAGAGTCTGCAAGTTCACTACTGGCGATACTGGGAGGTCTAGTCCAGCTACTGGAGAGACATAACATTACTGTGCCATTGTCATCATCTACAGCCACTGTGAGAATAAGAAAAAAGCTGTTTAAAAATACTTTACATTCTCTCCATCCCTCTGGCATTCAGAGAAGACGTAAGCAAATTGCGGTACAGTCTGATCATGGGAAAAGGTATACCACATATGTCTGAGGAGTTCATCCAGGAGAAATGCTGCTCCAAGGTCCACACAGTAGATAAAGCCAGAGAAGGGGCAGGAAACCAGCACTCCTACAGCGTAGCTCAGGCAGGGACTGAGGGCCCAAAACTGAACTGGTAAGGCAATTCTTGTAATAGGCTGTGCAAGGAAATCCATGGTGATACTGGTCAAGGCTAGTAAGGCCAATTAGTGCCCTCAAGACCCTTGTAGGGTGTGCATGAGTTTTTCAAAGAACTCTCTAGAATGTGTCTCCATGGGATTTCAGCAATGAGTGAGGAAGGCATCCCAGCTCCTGGTGCCCTGAGATACACTGGGAAGAATTCCCCTGGGCATCTATTATTCCCTTGGCAGGTCATGGAAGGACACAGGGATCCTTGAGTTGAGGTGTGTGTGGATTGTGCAGTTGAAGCAAAGGGAGGTTAAACCATGAAGTTCCATGCCCTGTCCTCATTTTGAAACCCTTGTTTGCAGTTTGCTGATCTCTGCTGTTTGGTTTGTGTGGGGCATGTAAAAATGCATCCACTGATGTGTTTGTGGTGAGAGGACATTAATATTTGAAAGAGGGGGGGAGAAGGGGAAAAAAAAAAGGCTGCCTGAACTTTTTTTCCCCTAATTTTCTTCCATTATCTCTTTTTCTGCCTCTATAAACTGTATTGACTGATTTGGGATTCTGATGACACAGCATCTGCCCTCCCTTTCTGGAGCTAGACGGAAGGAAGTGGGGTAGAAAATGAAATATCAGCTCCTAACCTCGGGTCAGGTAAGGCAGCTATATGCTGCAATGGAAAGGATGGTAGTGGTTGAGCTTCACTATAAAAAGGAGACCACAGCTGGCTTTGAGACACAAGAGAGTGGAAGAGGTCTTGGAGAAGAACTCTTGTACCCTGTCACTGCGTGCATACACCTAAACAGCAGAAAAAGTGCCATGGCTTTTGCCAGCTACGCTGCAGTGGTGAGTACTTGCATTTTCTGTGGCTGCTAAGATTCATTTGCTGCAAGAGAAAAAGCAGAATGCAGATCCCAGGATGCTATCTGCAAACAACACTTTTGGTCTTAGTGGGAGATGAATGGGATGCTAAATCTGCCTCATACAGCCTTCTGTCCTGAGCTTTTGCAAATGGGTTGGTTCTTGAGTGACAAAGAAGGCAATGGACTATCCATAATTATCTGTAAGGGCAGCACTGCTGATGTGGGACTGGGAGAGACAGTCCTTTTCTCAGAAAATATGCTATCAAAATTGTAGAAATTTCACTGTAAAGTGAATGTCTGTCTATTTAAATTTCAACCTGGGTAATATTTGCAGCACTGCCAACTGCTGTGATTTTCTTAAAAGCTTTTGCTAGGTGGTCAACCTTTCATTTTCTGAGAAAGCATATGGCTTATTAGGTTTGTAAGCTTAGGTCAGCTGAGTTGTTATTCCACCTTGTAGATCATAAGATCATCGCTGTTTGACTACAGAGGTGGACCTTTCATAACTCATTGGAGAGAAGCTCTTCTTGGTGAAGAGCCAACTATGAACTAGAATTTGAATCAGAGTTTAGCATCTCTTGTGATGAGTATCATTAGCATCATTTGCTATTTGCTTATGCTGGCCCATCTCACCCAAATATAAGATGGTCTATTGATGGTTCAGTCTAGTAAAGACTTTGCTCTTTGTGCTCTTTCTTTCTTGGCTGGACAGAGCTAACAACACCCTTCTCTCCCAGATCAGATCACTGTTTTTGGTGCTGGTTCTAGCACTCACGGTGGGGAGCTCACCCCACGGGAGGGTAGCTCATCCCCGACCCAGCAAGAACGGTGGCTCTGTGAGGCTTAGTGAAGATTGCCTGAACCAAAAGAATCTCAAGTTTCCTACCGTGGTGAAAGTTGACGTTCGTATCAGCAATTCAGATCATGCCTTTAGGTTGGTCCATGATGTCAGGAACCGGTCTCTCTCTCCTTGGGATTACAGGTAAGTTGTTATCTAAATTGCAGGAACCGCTTCACAGATGTTTCTTTGTGGTGCATGGTGGCTGGTTTTCAACGGATGCCTTGAATCCTGTGAAGGTTGCATATGCTTCATGATGTGTGCTTACATTTTGATGTTGGGTGAGATTTCTCCAGGAGAAACTGCATGTAGTGTAAATTGGAGCGGGTTCTAATCATCTTGTCAATCTTTGTAAATCATAGAATTGTTTGGCTTCGAAATGGCTTTTAAGGTCACCAAGTCCAATTTTAACTCAGCACTGCCAAGTCCACTGCTAACCCATGTCCCTGAGCACCCCATCTATATGTCTTTTAAATACCTCTGGGGATGGTGACTCCACCACTTCCCTGGGCAGCTTCTTCCAATGCTTGACAATCCTTTCAGTGAAGAATTTTTTCCTAATATACAATCTGAGGGTAGGGGTATTCTTTGGTTGTGTCTCATAGTGAGGCTACACAGGTAAATAATATGGTGCTTTCATGGAGATAAGCAAGAAGATCCTGCGAAACCATGTTGTGCAAGTGCATAAAACACTTCTGTGTCCCTATCCCCAGGCTTGATGAGGACCCCAACCGCTTCCCTCAGGTGATTGCTGATGCCAAGTGCCGCCTCTCCAGCTGTGTGAACCCACTGGGGCAGGAGGACCACAGTCTCAACTCCGTCCCCATCCAACAGGAGATCCTTGTCCTCCAGCGGGAGCAGCAGGGCTGCCAATACACCTACCGGCTGGAGAAGAAAGTCATCACTGTGGGCTGCACGTGTGTTGCTCCAGTCATTCACCACCAGTCCTAGGAGGAGGAAGGCAACACTGGGAAGAAGAAGTATTTCCTATGAATATCCCTCTGGAGAAATCCCACAGTAACCCACCTTGCATCCCAAGCATTTAACATGACATCTCCTTTCCAAATCTGAGCAGACTGCATTCTGAAAGTAGTGATTCTTGCTGTTACGGATTTTAGAACAGGAAGCACTGGTAACTTGTGATGGAGGGAGAAAGATGGTGGAAATGTTGTCCTTGGAAGTAAGTTGCCCTAATGCATACCTGCAAACCATCACTGCTACAAAAATCCTTCTCCTGCACCTTCTCTCTCCCTTCCTCATCTTCTAGCTCCTTTTCGTTCTCTGGCCATCCTTGCTCACTAGCATATTACTAGTGTAAACTGGCCTGATTTTCAGATTTTCATTGCATTCTGGGTTTGTGTCACTGCTGCTCCATGGGAAGCAGTGGCTGACTTAATTCAGAATATTCTGGGAGAAAATTGAGTCCACTTGTATTGAATGTTAAAACAGGAAAGAACTAATGTATGTTTATATTTCTATTTATATTTTCTATTTATGATTGTATTTATGGCTTTGTATGTGCCCAGAGTATCAAAAAAAACAACTGTTTATCTGTATTTATTCAGTAACTTATCCACTGAATAAAAATTGTGTTTTATTTAAAAGAATGTTGTTTTATGGTAGCTCAAAATGAAAGCATACATAGAGAATGGGTTTGTGTGGCAGTAACACTGAGAGATTTCAGGAAAGAGCAGGCTTTTTCCGGTGCAATGATATGAGTAAGAGGGAGTGGAAGAGAACTTGCAATCCAAACAGATAAAAAGATTTAAAAAGGGGCTGAAAGTGAGATGAGGTTGTACAGGCAGCACTGGGGGAGTTGGTAATAGAGCCAGGTTCTCTACACCTTGGGGATGGCAGACATCACATTGCAGGTCTGCAGCCGAAATTTGGGATGGGAGTCTATCCTGCTTCATAGGAACTAGGAAAGGCCTGTCCTACCCTGTTCCAGACAAGATGTCATCCTTATAAGCAATGTTCTCCTCCACCAGCTGGATGGTTGGCTGAGCAGGAATGCAGGGAAATGTGTAATGATGGCTTCATCTCACTGGTTTTTAACCAGCCAAATACTAGGTGTTGTGCAGGAAGTGGTGGATAAGGATCCCTCCTGTTAAAGGGAACATCAAGGAATTGCACCTCCAGGGCAGGGTTGCCTGCTGAGCTGAGGTGTCTTTTCTCTCCCTTAGCTGCACAAGGAGCACAGCCCACATAAACACACTGTTTATTATTTTATCAGATTGCTGCAGTGCTGCTTTTTTTGACATTACTCATCTTTCACCCAGAACTGAGCCAGAGACCTCTGACTTTGGGTTCTGCTGGTGGAGTTTTTAAGCCTGTATTTCCTTTTAAAGAAGGATAAATGTGTGTGCAACCATTCTTGTATTGTATTTTAGCTGCATAGAAGACACTTTGAATTAGATCCATCTGGTACAGTTAGACCCTGGGTTTTCTCCTTCAAATAGGTTGGATGAGTTGGTGCTTGTTTGTCAAGTGTGGTGTATTCCCTGTCCCGGAGTCGCTGGGTGCCAGTTCAACAAGCCATGGGTAACTAGGTGGGGAAACCATCTTATTCAGTTACAAGCATTTGTACTCATTTGTGGCAGCGGCTCTTTCGTTATGACCACCAAGCCCTTCATGTGGTGGAGCGCAAACCCATGGAGGCGTCTTCTGCTCACTCTTGCTTAACACCAGCTCTCCTTTACAGTAACCACTGACCAGGAAATTGCACCCTGCACACACCGGTTCTTACTCCTGACCTATTTCTCTCCATCTCTATAAACCTAGCCCGTGGGGGTGTCCTCACTTGTTTTGTGGGCAGAAAACAAGCCTACTTTCCTCTCTTCAATCATGATTAGCATTGGGTTTGTGGCAGCTAAATGAGCGCATGCTTTTGTACTGCTGATCTTAACCACCCATCAGCTTACCCTAACCGGATGAATTATGAAGTAGCTAATCAAGAAAATGCAAAGGTAGATAATAAAGGAAGTCTCAGCATGGGTCATGAGGTTCTGCAGCTGGCACTACCAACTGCAAACCACACACCTCTCAGGAAGGCATAGGGATTGTTTCTAAATAGAGAAAGCAGCTAGAGTTATTTCCTTCCAATGGTACCATTCTTAGAGTGCAGTTGGCTGTAAATATGAGGATGGTTATTTTTTAGGTGCTCTCTTTTGCGATGAAGTGGGTGGTTGGCTTTCATTTCCAGCAATCTAAGAACATGGCAAAAGAGCCTGTTTCTTGTAAACAGCACAGTCATATCGCCACCAACAGCAAATACAGTTCACAGCTGAGGAACAGCCTTTGCTAAAGGCTTTTCTTGGTTTTGTTCCCCTTGTAGCAACAGGTCCAGCTCCTGGATGCCCAGCTGGGCATCTCTGGCTCTAAAAAGTATTTCGAGTAGTCTTCAGGGGCTCAGTTCTTTCACCAGGAGGAGAAGACATAGCTGCAGGTTTAGTAGCAGTTCCACAGTGTCTTCTTACAACTTGCTGGGCTGAGCAAACAACAGTCACAGGTTAGTATATGAGCCTTGTGGTCTTTCCCATCCCTTTACACTTCTGCTTGCCTCTCACTAACCTCCTTTCTCTGTCCCCTTGCTCATTCCTCTCCTTGGCTGTGTCTGAAGCAGGGATCCTGTTGTGTAGCAGCTCCCATGGGAAGTTGAAGGGAGCACACTAAAGAGAGGCACAGCAGTGATGCCAACTTAGGCAGATGCTTACTCCCAGACCTGTGCTGTGACCTGTATATGTATTTATTGGCCTGAAGATGTGAGCCAGGCTTCTTTGGACCCTAGGCAATAGGCAGATGCTCCTGGGGGTGTTCAAAGGGATGACAGACCGGGTCAGCCTGTTCTACAAAACCATTGCTTTTGAAAGTGCACAGAAATAATGTAAAGAATGCAAAGGTTTCAACCTAAAAGGTTGAATCAACTCAAGAACTATTTGTGATTTGTAAGACAGAGGACAATGGGTTGAAAACACAGAAGTCAACATGGATGGTTGAGAGCTAGACCTAACAGACACAGCTTTAAGGGGATGAATGATTTGGAGGTCAGTCCTGTGGGGATTGGTGGTTTGATGCCAACATGATGGGTACAGATGATGGGATGAGTTTCCATGTCAGCTGTGAGTTCTGGCTGTCCTGGGACCAGCCTGACAGACCAGACCAGAAGCCTGTTCCCATGTCACCATCACAGGGTAAACTGTGAGACTTGCCTTGATCTCCTTCTTCTGTCTCCCTCCCCTTCTTCCTCTTCTTTGCTCTGTGTTACGATTTTTAATGCTGTTCTTAACGAGAACCTAGGTGAGTGGTCCAAGTCTGCATCTTCTACAACACTGTTACAGGTTGGTGACAAGAAAAAAGCCTACTCACAATGTTTGTGATTGCCTGACACTGCTTGTCAGACTCAGGGCTGTTGATGGGGATGTGACTGTGTGCTGATGCTGGTTTTCAGGAGCTGAGAAGATGCCAGCCAGGCTCAGCACTAGAAACAAACTGTGCTTTCTGCTTTTGCTACTCGCAAAAACATTTTCCATCTTTGCTAATTATTCTCCATACTTCCAGAGCTGGATAGCGGTAACAGCTTCAAGTCCTCAGCTCTTCAGATAAATTCATTCCCGCTTTCTTTCTAATTTTTCCTTCTATTTATTTATTTATTTCCTCAGAAAACTAGCTCAGGTTTTCCACCTTTTTCTGGAACTGTAACAGAAGATGAAAATTAAAATTAAGTTTGTTGTTCTTTGGGGGTTGCAGACTGAAAAAATACTGTTCTCTGTGCATAGTTATCTATGGATGAGTTTTAGTGGTTTTACCAGTCCAAACTGTCAAGTTTCCGTTTTATCTGCATTCTTGGTAAGCACAATATGTTTGTATCATGATCAAGGTTCCCTGTTCCCGCAAATGAATAGAGATTGTTTATCTTCTCTCTAACCTACCCCTATGTTTTTGGGGGTTTGCTTTTATTTCAGACTTCTGAAATCTGTACTACTGGCCTCCCTCATGTTTTAAGGCTTGCCAGACAGATGAATCTCTATCATCTTTTACAAGCGTCTGTTGTCTGGCCAGCTTGTTTTGATAAACTGTCAATGATGAGCATGGTTATGTGACAGTTTGCTATACAAATGCAATCTCAAACTTCCCTTTCTGCTGGGTTCTACTCAGGTTGCCAAGCAACCTGGATGCTAAGCCACTGCTGCTCAGATTTAGCAAACTGACATGAAACTGAGATAGGGAGCAGGGCTGGAATGGAAACCTTTGTGTTGAAGAGGGTTTTGCAGCAATTCTCCCCTGCCCCCCATAATGATATCATAAAATAAGCAGGAACTTGCACTCAAACTCTCCAAAATAAGAAAGACCAAGCTTTATCTGTTGAATCTCAAACTGGTAAGAGCTGAGACAGAGTGAAAGAGGGGTCCTACTCTCTTTGGTCTTCTATTACGATCATTATTAATTGTTAGTCATCAAAATTTGCCCAGAGAAACAAAGACACTAATTAGGTGACCTCATGGCAACATTGTGTTGATTTGGAATTGTTCTTTTCCAACTGAGCACAGCAAAGTCAAGGAAGGAAGACCTCTTAGCTCATGATGCCAGGAGTTACAAGAGAACTTGCAGCAGGAAATAAAATAGTTTTTAGGCCAAAAGAATCCAGGTGATTATATCATTAAATGCTTCTGCAGGAGCATGTACAAAACAGAAGCAGCTTGTGGAGGTGAGCATGAAGTTGGCATGAAGCCAAGTAAATGAAAAACAGGTTGTTTCCTGGGGCAAGGATTTAGCTGAGTTGGTAAATGGTCCAAGGGAGAACGATGCTGCTGGAAGTGGGACCGGAATATCTTCACAGCCCGTCAGCAGAAAGCTGTAGGCATTTTGGTACTCCAACTGCGTCATCTCTTGCTGACCTGGTTCTGACTTTTTCCATATAGTAGTTCTCTGTCAGCATTTTTAACCAGTCTCCATTACTCATGTGCCAACTCCAGCTAACAGCACATCACTACCAGGTAATAAAGCATGGGACTTACCGTGATTTTAACTGATAGAAGTTACTTGGGCTGCTGCAGACATTTTGCCAAAGCTCAATCTATAGGAATTGGTAGGATGTTGAGAGATCATCCAATGAGCAAGACACTCAGCTCTATTTCAGTCTGCCTGCACTGGTATTTATATAACTCATTGAAAACCTCAGAGGATGAGGTTCCTTGATGTTTTAGGGTTTTATTGGCAGTCTGTTCCCATGCTTAATATTCCCACAACAGTCAGCTGGGGTGAACTTCAGGACCTGAAAGAGACCTTAGGGAAGAATAGCTGGAGATTAGGTAGGAGCCAAGCTAAGCCAGTATCACATATACTGCTAGATTCCTGCATATGGGTAAAGTTATATCAGTGTTTGAAGGTAACTACAGGTGTGGATAGGAGTCTATTGTTGTGATTGCAGGTACTGTGATCACTCAGAGTTAACGAGTGATTTATCTGACCATTGTATACCTGCTAGGTCAGGTACAGTGTGAAACCTGTGTCTCTAGTGTAAATTTAGGTTACAGACTGACCCACCTGATTTTGCCTGGTCTAGATTACGGAGGGCTTAGGCTTATGGCACAGCTGGAGGGAATAACCCCAGCACAAAAGGTGGGATGATTACATCTTTATTTAGCACAGCTGGATCTGAAGAAGATGCATTCACCTGAAGTGACCTTGTTCCTCATTAGGGACTTGCACCTCTGAGTTCTGCATCTCTAAAAATGCATTATTTGCTGTTGCATTTGGCAATGGCATTTTTTCAGTGCCTGAGCAGGGTCACACCTCTCTAAGATGGCAGCAAACAAAACACCCATATCTTCACAAAGCAGCTTGCCTTCTTAAACATGGAACATTTTCATCTGAGCACTTTTAACCTCAGAGTGCTTTAAATAAACGACCACAGTGCTAAACATCCACCTACCTGAGTCCTATTGCAGACATGGTAGAAGTGCTGTGTCAGTTTGCTTTACATATGAAGCACTAACTGCTGGCAATGAACACCTTGGAAGGACACAAGCACAGAGACAATGGTGATTGCAGTTAGCAATACATGGTTAATCGCTTCAGTTATCCGCCCAACATACTCATTTGCTTGTGTACCCAGGTAGTGACCCAGCTCCACAGAAAATGTGTTGAAATGGATTGGAAAGAAATTCAACACATAGCATTGGAGCAAAATTGAAACTCGGCAGTGAAAAACACTATTTTATTGGAGGGAGTTTCTTTCCTCCCAAAGATGCATTCAAAGTGTTGTGCTGAGCCTATCTTTACAAATTCCTTTCCAATCAGACAATCAGGTGGAAAACTGGGTAGTTACCCACTGTTTTTTTTCCTAGTCTCTTTTCAATGTGAAACTACTGGGTGTCACTTGGTGAACAGTTTTCCTTCAGACAGCTTAGTTTCTCTATCAGTAAAAGGGTATTAATAATACAAGCTCTAGCTTTCCTATGGGGTTTACATTCTGCTGCAGCAGAGCTAGAGGTTTTGAAGAGAATTTTAGGTTTTAGCATCACGCAGAGCCCTTGTATGGTCATAATTGAATTAGGTGGTTTCTTACCTCATCAAAAAGGCTTCTTTAGAAAGAAAGGAGAATAACACAGAGTATTTTACTTGGTTTTTTATTACACAAAGATAAATAAACAAATAGGTTATTGCTAACTTTTCCATCAGCTTAAATAGAATTACATTAATAGAGATTTAAAAGTGTAAGCTAAAGATATGTAGAGAGTACCCATTACTTTTTCAGTCAGTCTGTCACATGGAGGTGTCTGGATACCAAATTCATAGAGTTCAAGATTTTTGGGGGAAAGACTTCTTTTTTTTTTTTTTTTTTTTTTTTACTGAGACTCTTTTAAATTTTAATGTATTCTGATAGATTCTAATTAATCATTATATCTTAATTCAGTTTTGCAGAGACTGAATCAGGCCGCTTCATTTCAGTGCTGTTAGGCAAGGAAGCTGTTCTCCATGGTTCCCTGCTGTTACACTGCTGGCTGCCTTTAAGCCTGGTGTCGGATCAAGGGGGTGACACATGTGCATCCTACAGTGATTGTTTTCTTCTCCAGCCGGTATGTTTGGTGGCAGCCCTTCTGCTCCCTCCGGAGGACAAGGATCTCCTGTTGGATGGGGAAGGAGTTGAGGCCGTGGTCTAGCTGCCCATCCGAATTCACACACCGCAAGTGTCGGCACGTGGCATCAGCAATCACATGGGGGAAACGGTTGTGGTCCTCATCTATCCTGTAAGTTGACATGAAAGGAAGGATTTGAAATGGAACTGCTGCTGCATCTCTGGAGGCACGATAGTCTGAATCACTATGGGCTCCTAGCTCAGGAATCGGTACCTCCTGGGACATTGCAGTAGACCCTCCACTGCTGTAGGTTCTTAAGAAAAAAGGTGTAAGTAAGTAAATACTGCAGGGTTTTAAGTGTAAGACAAACATGCCAGGACTGCATGTGACTGCCTTTGCAAAGAACTTGCTTCAAATAGGCACTGACTTTGAAAGACTGATTGGAGCTTCCCAACATGTCAGATTGCCTAACGGACCCAAAGGCCTTCAGCTCCCCTACATGAAATATTCTTAGGGCCTAATGCTGATGTTATTATGTTATTAAACCACCACTGAATTTGGTGCAATGTTAGCTCTCTTGATGTCTTAGGTAAAGAATGCTTTTGATGATAGTTTTCCCCAATACACAAATAAATTAATTAAATTACAAAACCAAAAGTCTTTGCTTTCTGTGTGTTCATCTAAATCATGCTTTTACTCTGTGCTCCTTTATGTATCGGTTATCTTTTAAAGAGGATTATATGGACTGTGGACACCCTCATATTTCCAAAATCTCTCAATGGTGAAGCACTGAAATAAAGATGTAGGCAAGCCCTGGCATTATTGTGACAGCCAGGGCAGCAGGTGTATTTCTAGACCATAGGGGCAGAGATCATACCTATAATCCCATGGAGACAGGGAGCGGCTGCTGACATCAGGAGTCACTTTGGTCTCCTGGTTCGTGGAGCTGATGCTTATGTTGACTCTCACAGTCTGAGGGAATTTTGACTCTTTTGGAGTCAAGCATCCAGCATATGACCGCTTGAAGAGGCTTTCTGGCTTGAGTCCAGGCTGTATCACCTTCTCATAGGCAGAACTGCTGGCTGACAGCAAGACCAGCAGCAGTAAGAACAGTGATCTGAACTGAAGACAATGAGTGCATTTATGACACAATGCAGTACAGCTGCTGTAACACAACACGCCCTAACAACTCCTTGTGCAGCTCGGAAATTCATTCACAGTTAAAGCCTAAACTAGAGGTTGAAATATGGAAAAATATGTACTATATCACATCCACTCTTGCTTTCATTAACTAATTCTCATGGTGCTGACAGGTATGGTATACACATTCAGTTATAATTTGTTAATAAAAATATTTAAATTATAGAAAATAATATAATACAAGAGATATCAGAAAGGATATAACTCAACAAAGGTTTAGTTTTCAATGTTTTTCTTGAGTCAGAGTATGTTGCAGCAGCCCCATTCACTAATATACCCGTACAGTCTCATTGCTGCCCCATGCTGGTGCTGTTCAGCGGTCCCCCCTTTTAGTTATTTTCAATTATTAATGGTTTAAGCAAGCATTTTAAAGATAGGTACAGATCCTCATTCTTGACAGTCATTTATTACAATTTAAATATGTCTTTGTCAAAAAGGATGAAAAAAAACCTGAAAGCAAGTTCTTACCAGAGAAGCACAAAGAATCGGAGACATCTTCCTTCTCTTACTGTAGCTGATGCTTGTGCTGAGCTCTGTTGAACTGATGGTGTTTGGGCACTTTTGCTGCTGTAGTTTTTATAAGGGCTTCTGTGCTGTCCTAGTTAATCTGGAGTAGGTGTTTTTTCCCAACCCTAACTGTGGTTTCTGACCATAACTTAACTTATAGAGTGTATGTATATATATTCCATTAACGCAGGTGGAAGACAGGATATGGGCTCACTCTTTCTTAGATCAGTAGGTGATGTCATTACTTTAGCCATGTCACTCAAGTAGTAACAAAACTCAATGATGATGTTAGAAAACCACCAAAAATTCTGCACTCGCTGCAGTAAGTGGGTGCAAAGTGTACGATATTAGACTCGGGCCAGAGTTGTCCTCTCATCAAACATAAGTTGATATGCTCTATGATCTTGACTTGGGATGCAGTAGGCATCAAAGCCACTAGTATCACTGGCACTGCCAGATTGGATCTGTTTGCTCATAGGTCAGTCTGATGTCTTTTTACCCTGAATTGGGCAGATTTTGCACAGCTGGCCCCCATCCCATTGCTCTCTGATACTTGCCATGTGCTGTCACTTGTCTTGATGTCTGAGGAAGCAGGCTCCTTCTCAAGCTCCTATATTTTTTCTCAAATTTCCTAGTCTAGGTCACGCTATTTTTATTCAGGCTACACCTCAGGTGTGATGTGTCACTTTTGATCAGAATGCTTTGTGATACTGAGTTCCCAAATTCAGTCATTCTCCATCTAGGAAAAGAAAACCTTGAACACTGATTTTGAGCTTACCACCTTTTAATTTCACTTCAGGCTCTTGCCCTGTGACACAGGGCTTTGATCCTATGGAAAGGGCTCTAGGGACTGTGATGGATGTAGTTAAACTTTCAGTTCCTAAGTTAGGGAGAGAACAGAGTGGTTCAAGAGAAACCTTGTGGAGGCTTTGAGATGCAAAATGTCTCCTCTTGTAGGCAGGAAAACTGGAAGGACCTACAGACACCTCCTGCATGGCATATAGGTGATAGCATGCTGGTCTTACGAGTATTTGGAGCTAAAATACCTTGAATTATGTAGCCACAAGGCATTACAACTCCCTGTGTCCCAGCCCTGTGTCCTGGATGACCATTATCAGTAACCCCAAGTAGCTCCTGATCCCACTGTGCTGTCCCTCCATCCTTGTGAGACCAATATAATGGAGCTGTGATGTACCCTGCCATGTCAGTATTTAAATAGCGAATATTTAAATCCATTACTCTATTTGACATGGAGACACTCAGGATCCCTTTCTAGCACTTGCAGGTATTTTTCTAGATGTTCACTAAGAAATTGTAAGGGGGTTGCAGACCTGGAGATGTTGATTTGCTTCAAGGCTATGTCCCCTTGTGACTTTGGGTCATTGTTGTTGCTTTACCTGACAGTAACTGCTTTGGGTTTTGATTTTTCATGGCAGATGTCTTGATGAGTCCTGGATGTTCTTTAAAAGCTGCTGGATTGACCCTGAAAGAGACTTTGCCTGCAAGGAGGGATGGTTACATTCACTCCCCCACCTGCTTTTAGGGATTTAAATCCATAGCTCTCTAATAAGTATTTTGGTCATTTTATAGGGTGTTCTGGGACAGGGTGCTTCTGTGGCATCATTCAAATATCCTTTGTTGAGAGGTCAGAGCTCCACAGTTACGCCAGTCAGCAGCAAAGTATGAATGGGAAAATTTTGGATAAAGCAGAAACTGAACCAGGAACTAGAAACTTGATGGCTCTCCCAGGCGAAAATCCAAACTGAGAATCTCCCAGGGAAAGACCCAGAGTACTACAAAACCTGGTACACAAAGAAAGTGGTAAGCGTAGGCCTCTCAGGCTGCAGCTTCCCAGGTAATGATACTGATCATAATGAGCTATGAAATATAATAAACCAGCTACTGCCTTCTCTGATGAGGTTCCCGGGGAGCAGGTGAGTGACGGACAGACACAAGGGTATTGATGCTGCTTGTAGGCTGAATTTCAGAGAGATTCTTGACAAAGGGGCTTACAGTTTAAAATGGAGGGTGTGAATTCAGTCCATCTTTCTCTAATATTTCTGTCTTAGGAAATTACTCTGGTCACTTTGCTTTGACAGTGGGTTAGAAGTAGCTAGGATGTGCACCTTAAAGTAACACTCAGTGTAACCTCCTTGATCTGATGATGCATACCTTTTCTCAGGTCTAATTTTGCTGATGTTTGCAGTTAAAATGATGCATACGTGTTTTTTACAGTTGCTTAATATTTATGTGTAAGTCCAAATTTTACTCACCTTGTGTCACCCAAAGGAGGATGTAAATAAAGGCAGAATTTACTTTGTAGTTTCTGAGAGAGCCACAAACTATATCAGCTTGTTTAAAAAATGCTGATGCTTGAAAAGCTAAATGTGTAACTCAGTTTCCCTCTTAGAGATGTACAGGCTAAAGGAAATGGTTCCCTTAGAAGGGGTTTTCTCTAATGCCATTTACTGAAATATCCATTCAAAGTGGGTCACTTAAATTTCCAAGCTTAGAAGAAAAAGTATTTCAAAAGCCCAGAAGGCAACAGAAGGTCAGGTTTAACCAGTGTGACCCTAAATCCAGGCTCATCTACTCTAACTGTGTCAGTGGTTTAGGTTACCTCATCAGCATAAAGGTGATTAGTTAAGCATTCAAACACAGCTACTGCAACACAGCATTGCAATCGTGATAAAAATACTTTCCATGGTTATGGAACACATTCATTTGCAACTGTCATAGGCAAGATGAGAGGCTCTCGGGAGGAAATACACCTCTTTAAATGCTTCCACCAGGTCTGAATTATACAAATGAAACTCTCATATTTTTGATTCCAAGATTTTTCCAAGTTCCAAATAATTATTTTCCAGTTCTTCCTGGTCTGAAGTGAAAACAAATATTGACCATGATTTTACCCCATGAGATTTGTTTTATTCTGACATTTAGCTCTCTCTTAGCTAGAGATCTGAAAGCTGGGGCACTAACAAATGCTTACTGAAACAAAAAAGATATTAAGTATTATCTAAAGCCTTTTGAAATCAAACCAAGCCCTTCTCTTGGCTCTGATGAAAGCTTGCTTGAGATTAAATTGCTGCTTAAGTCAAGTCCTTTACCAGCTGAGATCCTTCAGGCACCCAAATCTGAGTGTGTTTGCTTTGATGATACTTTCTCCCATCAGAGTGTGGGTCAGTGTCAGAGCTCTGGTGTCCTTACTGAGCTTGTTGTAAATTAAATGAGAAATGACAGGTACCTTCAAATACTTTATTTATATAGTTTTTCTTTTTTTTAGTCACTATCAGTAAAGTTTATGCTACTTCTGAAAAACAAGGAGCTTTTCTATTTACAGGTAGGGAGACATTTTCTTTCTTGTTGGAGTGAATGCATTTTCTTTCTCTTGAGTACATATCTCTACAAATCCCTATAAATAAATCAACATTTTTCCTCCTACATACAAGCATTACATGAGCCAGTGTGCATTTGTCATGGTTTAAACCCAGTCAGGTAATTCGTTCACTCACTTCCCCCCTTCTTTCCCTCCCCCTACTCCCGGAGGGACGGAGAGGAGAATCGAAAAGAATGCAACTCCCACAGGTTGAGATAAGAACAGTTTAGTAACTAAGGTATAACACAGATCACTACTGCTACCACCAATGATAATAATGATAAAGGAAATAACAAGGGAAGAGAATACAACACCTCAGCACCAGCTGACCGATAACTCGCCCCCCAAGCCCGACCAAGCACCGACCGATACCTCCTCCAACCCTGCAGTCTCCCAGCCCTTCTGGCTAACTCCCAGTTACCTCCTGGGCATGACGTGCTGTGGTATGGAATACCTCTTTGGTCAGTTTGGGTCAGGTGTCCTGTCTCTGCTTCCTCACAGCTTCCCCTCCTCCCTGGCAGAGCATGAGCCTCACAAAGTCCTTGGCCAAACCAAAACATCCTTGTTATCAGCTCTGTTCCCAGGCCGAAAGTCAAAACACTGCCCTGCACCAGCTACCAAGAAGGAGAAAAATGACTGCTACTGCTGAACCCAGGACAGCATTGTAGAGGTAATTTCTAGGAGCTTAATGATTAAACTGAGGCTGAGGCCAGTGGTTATCTGACAGAAACTCAGAATTTGTCGGGGCAAGACTCTGAGCATCCTCATTAAACACCGAGCATCCTCATTAAACACCAAGATAAGTTTAGTTTAGTTTAATCCTGCTTTGAGTAGATGGTTGGATCAGACACACCCAGAGGTCCTCTTAACACTGGTTAAATCACTGCACCTATCTCTCACACCTTGATCTCTGTAGAGGAGACGTGACAAAACAGGCGAAATAAGCTTTTTTTGTCAATTAAACACTTCTACTTTTCCACCTTTCCAGAAGCTGTAGTAGAAATTATCATGTCCTACTGCATGTGTAAATTTTCCA